AAAGTAACGACAGAGGTAGTCTTCCCACCGCAATGTGGCCTTCCAGCTCTACAATTCTATGAATTCTCATCCTGCAAAACACCGACAGAACCATTGATAGCCCAGAGCCCTTGATGATCAAGCTGGTAACATTCTCTTCTTAAAGAATGAAAAGATCTCAGATTCTAAGAGAAGAACAAATGCTAACTGACTAATTCGAGGGTCCATGCTGAAGGCCTGACTTTTGGTGAGATTAACTTAAAATTAGGCCTCCAGCACGTGAGTTAATTGGAGCTCCCCACCTTGCAAGGAGTCTAAGACTTAGTCCCAAACCCAGATAAGTTCTGCTTTACAGAGAATAGGCAGGTGCCTTCTTTTTCTTTCTTTCTTTTCTTTTTAAATTCATTCATTCATTTATTTTTGGCTGCATTGGGTCTTCGTTGCTGTGTGCAGGCTTTCTCTAGTTGCAGCGAGCAGGGGCTACTCTTCGTAGCAGTGTGCGGGCTTCTCATTGCGGTGGCTTCTCTTGTCGCGGAGCATGGGCTCTAGGCATGCAGGCTTCAGTAGTTGTGGCACACGGGCTCAGGAGTTGTGGCTCATGGGCTTAGTTGCTCCGTGGCACGTAGGATGTTCCCAGACCAGGGCTCGAACCCGCGTCCCTTGCATTGGCAGGCAGAGTCTTAACCACTGTGCCACCAGGGAAGTCCCCAGGTGCCCTCTTTTTTTTTTTTTTTTTTTTTTTTTTTGCCCCCAGGTGCCCTCTTAAAAACCGTTACAACCTAAGCTACACCTTCAAAACAAACATGTTATGGCCAACACGAATCCCTGGCAGAGGCCTTCCAATACCCCTTCTGCAGGTTCAACCCATGAGGTTCAAAATATAGATGATCTTTTTTTTAGTTTCTTTTTATTTTGAATTGAAGTATGGTTAATTAAAGATGTGTTTGTTTCAAGTGTACAGCAAAGTGATTCAGTTACACACACATATATATATGCTTATTTAAAAATTAACAGCAGCAGCTACCTTATGTTGAGGGCTTATGTAGCAGGCATTATGCAAATCACCTTACACTCTCATTCATTGTACCTAACACAGGTTTGCTATTACAGATAAGGAAACCGAGGCTCAGAAATGGACTGGTTGAGACAACCAGATGCAAAAAGAATGAATTTGGACCCTATTTTACACCACATATAAAAATTAACTCAAAAGGAATCAAAGACCTAAATGTAAGCACCCAAAAAAGACAACAGGGGTAAATCTTCCTGACTTTGCATTCTAAGATATGATACCAAAACACAGCAACCTAAGAAAAAAATTAATAATTGGACTTCACCAGAATTAAAAAACCTCTGTGCTTCAAAGGACACACTCAAGAAAGTGCAAAGAACACCCACAGAAAATGAGAAAATATTTGCAATGATGTATCTCATGAGGGACTTGTATCTTATAAAATATATATATTATATGTATAAGAATATATAAGGAACTCTTATAATTCCATAATAAAAAGACCTTGAATAGACATTTCTCCAGAGAAGATATACAAATGGCCAAGAAGCACCTGAAAATATACTCGACATCATTAGCCTCAGGGAAATACAAAACCACAATGCGATGCCACTTCACATCCACCAGGATGGCTGCAATAACATGGCGCAGCCACTTTGAAAACTGTCTGGCATTTCCTCCAAAAGATAAACAGAGAGTTGGCATGTGACCCTGCAATTCCATTCTAATTTCCAAGAAAAATTCAAACACATGTCCACACAAAAAATCGTACATGAATGTTCACAGCAGCATTACTCATAATAACCAAAAGGCTGAAACAACCTAAATGTCCAGCAAATGATGAATGGATAAACAAAACGTGGTACATCCATATAATGGATTATTACTTAGCCAGGAAAAGGAATTAAGTACTGATATATGCTACACCGTGGATAAAAATATCATGCTAAGTGAAAGAAGGCAGTCACACAAGACCACACACTATATGATTCCGTTTATAGGAAGTGTCCAGAATAAGCAACTACATAGAGACAGAAAGTACAGTAGTGGTTGCTTAAGGGGATTAGGGGATTGAGTGACAAGGTTTCTTTTGAGGTGATGAAAATGTTCTAAAATTGATTTTGGTTATGCTTACACAACACTAAATATACTAAAAACCATTGCACTGTACGCTTTAAATGGATGATTTGTAATGGTATGTGAATTATAACTCAACAAAGCTGCTACCAAAAAAAAAAATAAATTAAGATATTCAGCAGAGGAATGAGGTTCACATCTGGTTCCATTCAAGTCCAGTACCCAGGCCCTGAACCTACCCTACACCGCCTTTCAAAGTACAAATGACAGCTCTTCAGGCACCTGTCTAAATCCACACTTTATTTAAACTCTTCCAACAAAGCAGTGGCAAGGCACGGGACACATAGGATAATTGCCTTCAAATAGCTTTTAGTTTTAAAAATATGTTTATTGTCAGATAGAAGAGCAAAGGCATGTACTACACACATATATTGTTATAATGCATAGTACAGCACATGCCTTGGCTCTTCTGATAATAACTTCAGTATAGGATATGTTATATTATACAGACTACAACATATTGTAAATATCATAATACAGATGATAATCCCAAGAGATGGCCACAAGAGAGGATCAGATCACATCCATGGAAACATGAAAGACATTTATTTCTACAGTAGAAAAAAACAAACATTACCCCCTAAACAACGACTAAAATTACTTGTAGTTAAAACAAATAAATTCCCCAACATATAATCATCCTAGACATACCCAAAAGAAAGCGGGGAAAGTTTTAGGATGGTGTTACTTTTCTCCATCTTAATTAAAATGAGGACTTGTAATGGTCTATACGGGAAAAGAATCCAAAAAAGAGTGGATATATGTACATGTATAACTGATTCACTTCACTGCCCACCTGCAACTAACACAACATTGTAAATCAACTATACTCCAATAAATTTTTTTTAAATTAAAATTTAAAATATGAAATAAAATAAGGACTTGATATCCCAGATCTGAGGATAATTTCTAGTTTAGAGCTTTGCGGTGCACACATTCCATTGTGGAAATCCATTTCTTTGGTGCTGAGGTCTGAAAGAAGCCTTACAGCGGACTAAATCATTAACTTTGGGAGAATGTATGCCTTTGGGCCTCATTTTAAAAGCATTTAGTCACTAAAGTTTCCAAAGAGCCTTAAGACTGTGCAGCCATCCATCCTCTCTCCCAGGGACGGTAGGATCAGTCAACGCTTCTCTTTCTGACTCTAGGCCACTACCTCCACCTTGTGGCCACAACTAAACTGTGGAGGTCACAGCTCCAAAGTCTCCTCAAGGAGCCTGTAAACAAATACAAGATAGAAGCTACTTCCGTTATTGACAGTCAGCACAGGGAAGGTGTTGACCAAGTGAAGTTCTCACAGTACCAACCACTGTGAAAATTTCACCTGGCCACTTGGTTGACTCTTGATTAACAGGTACCAGTAACGAGTTCTTGGTATGTCAGGGACTTAAACAAGACTCTTCAAAACTTTAATTTGAAAAGAACTGGCTATTGCCTACCCTGGAAATTAAACAGGTGAACTTGGGAACAAAATGCTTTAAGCTGGAGGCAGGGTCCCGGGGACGTTGCGGGAGTTTTCTAAATCTAGAAATTGCATCTGAATTCCAAAGAGGGCGGGTAAGAATAGATTACTCTGGATATGTGTAAAACAGCCAACCCTTGGAAATGAAACTTTTTTGTTCTTTAACCTAGAAGGAATGGAAAAATTTCCAAGGCCATTATTCATAGTCTTAGAAAACCCAGTGATGTTCCACCCTTTGATATAGGTAGATACAAGAATAACACAAAAACCAAAAGTCAGTCCAATTAGTTTAAAACAAACCCTGGCTTCCTCTCAAGCCTGACATTCCCGTCACGGTTTCAGTCTCAAGTACAATGATGAAATGAGAATGGTCCTGAGGGTGATTCAAGAACCACTCAGCATGGAGTAAGATGCACAGAAAGATCCTAAAAGTGGGATAAATCAGACAACTCTGCATGAAGAGCTTGGCCAAATCATCAAAGTGGTAACTGGGATCTGCATCGCAAAGAACTAGAAAATGTGAATACACTGAATTTGACACGGAAACCAGGTGGCAGTAGACTACGGTCAGCCTCTTCTAACTCTGGGAAAAGAGCGTGGGGAAAAGCACTAGGAGCTTCTGTCTGACACCCCAACTTGGAAGGACTGATAACGGTGGCCCACGATTCTGTGAGTTGGCAAATAAGGACCAGCCTGGCCTCCTAAGGCAAGACCTGTGCTCAAATACCAACGTCTACCAAGGGCAATGGCCAAAGAAACTGTGCGCTATCACCTCCGCCTTCTTACCTTTTTAAGCTTGCCACACTTGACTTTAGTTTGTGCTTCTCTGTTTGCAAATGGAAAACCTGGGCCCAGAGAAGTTAATGCAAGGTCACAAAATTCATTAGTGGCTGAACCAGGACGTGCAACTAAGTCTAGGGCTCCATACCCGTATCAACCAATCCAGGTGGGAAAAGACAGGGTTCATATAAGGTTGCTAATAATTCAAAGACAGAAAATGCTAATTGTTCTGAAGAACGCTTGAAAGAAAAGTTTTAGTTCCATGGCCACACTGTCTCAGGAAATTTCACAGAAACGATCCTGTGGTTAAAAACATATTCTTCCCCCCTTTGCAAAAGGAACCTAACATTTCCTGCCTATAAATCAGTACATCACAACGTATCTCCTGAAACTTTATTAACTGTGGTTAAGAAAAGCACAAGTGTGTGAAAGAGTGAGCAGGTGCTATGCAGATCTGCCAATGTGTACTGCAGAGAGGAAGCCGCCACTGTGGGAAGAAAAAGTTGAAAAACATTTTTCACTGACATTCCTCAGGACCTCTTAAAGCTTGAAAGAACCGTTGATGATATGAGAAATATATATATATAAAACGATCCTAAAAAGGGTACAGAGAGAACTATACATTTTTACCTGTTCTAACGTAAGCTGCTTAGAAATGGTATCGTTCTCCAGTTTCTTAATTTTCTTCATCAGTTTGTTGACCTGGAATTCCTGTTCCTGCTCGAGGTGCTGTTCTAGCTCAGCTTTCTCATGCTGCAACTGGAAAATGAAAAAACACAGATGTGGAAAGCAAGACACTCAAAAGCCATGGGAACAACAGCTCCGAAAGCTAGTTAAACCGAGTATATCATAAAAGTTACATTAGTCATTTCTGCTCATATGTCCAAGTGTACACCTAGTAACTTGCTCCTGATTCCTCTAACTTATAACCAAAAATTATAGTGCATACTCAGAGGCACTTGATCTTAGTCAAAAGGCCAAGAAATTACAGGGCAAATATATCAGAGCATCACACCATGATTAAACACCGATTTCCATTTTTAAGAACATGTAAGTGGTTATCTCTGTAGGGAACAATTGGGGATGAGGAAAGGAAGAAAACTTACTTTCCAGCATATATATAACCCTTTGGTACTCTTAAATTTTTATACCATGAGCATAAAAATTATTAAAAAATAGAAATTTTGCAACTGTCGGTTTTTATTGAATGAATTACGGTTTACTTGCATTTATACAATGTGTGGAGAGAGGGAAGAGATGCTACAATCACAAAAAATACTTAGTAAATTATTCTGAATGCTGTTTCCCAATGTACTAAGTAAGCATGCTTGGCAAAAATAAGTACAAATAATTAACTTCCTGTAATGAGACCAAACGTCACACCGCCTACAACCTTCAAAACCAAAAGAGAATAAAAGAAATCCAGTGGACACACAATGACTGGGGTTCTCATGAATCATTGTGCATTATTTCTAATGTTCTCAGCTGGGAGGGGCTGTTGATTCATGGTAGGGGGTGAAGGGAACGAGAGCCACAGGGACTGGTATTTTCAGAACCATGGGCAGATTAAGCAAAAACTACTAAAAACAACGAAGCACACCTAGTTTGACTGCGGGGTCTAAGATGACACCACTCCCTAATTCTACCTTCAAAACCATTTCCTCAGGCAGGCAGTGCGTACCAGGCTCATCACATGCGTTAGGCAGGCATGATCACCCCCATTTCATATGTGACGAAACAGGTTACTGGACCAAGGTAATTCATCTGGAAGGCGGCAGAGCTTGGGGCCCAAACCCTGCTCTGAACTCTAAACCAGAGTTCTCCCACCGGATCCTGAGCAAACCTCAGAGCGGCTGGCTTCACACTCCTCCATCCACAAGTGCCTAGTGCACCCTTGCCATTTGGAAGGTCAAATGACTAAACGTAGAAAACGGTGAGACATATACACTCGCCCAGTGGATGCTATGTCTCTTTGTAAATCCTGCACAGGGTGAGATGTACAACAGAGAGCTCAGTGGGCCTGACGGACCTCAAAAGGCTACACCTAACCATCTCCACATTTGAAACAATTTCCATTGCTCTGAAAGCACCATACTTGGTGTTTAAAAAGAAAACAAAAAAAGTTTAAAATCTGACATCTTCTTCCAACACTGGAAATGTTGACTAAACAGATGCTGTTTTCCCTCCAACTGTTTTTGATGCACAACTCCAAAAAAAACTGGTCAACCTTGCAGAGACCGAGAAAGAAAGCAGATGTGAGGAGGTGCTTACAGCAATGAGTCTATTTTTAGCTAACCCTTTAAAACTCAGTTTCTGCAAGACCAAGCAGTAATTAAAAGAACTAAGAGGAACGCACAGAGAATGAGAAGAGCTTCCAGCATTTCGGACACAAAGACCTCAGTGGGAAAAGCATCACTTACGAGGAAAAAATAGCAAACATGCACCTCTTCAACTAACACCTGTATTCTATAAACATTACCTGTGTGGCATGTCTTCTACCTGAATGTATTATGTTAGAGGGAGTACAATCTATGGTTAAGACATTCTCCTTGCCCTAAAATAGTTTATGAACACTAAGCTTAAGTGATATCTACTGGTTTTAGAAAAATGAACTGTAGTCTTAAAACCTTTAAACCATTTGCATAGCTTTTTAAAAATATTAGCTGTGTTTTCCTCTAATATGTTTTCAATTGCTGTCTTCTTTATTTGAAAGAGCCCCCTTCTGCCTTTTTTTTAGCATTATGCTCCTGCCTTGAAGTAAATTAAAACAATAAAGGATGCAATCTAATGTTGAAAAATCTCTTGCCCCACAAGCAGCAGTTGTCGCAGAATATCAATCTGAGCAAAGGTAAGGTTCTCATTGGCTTAGAGGAAAATACTCATATACAGACAGATGGCCTAACACCGTCAATATCTGACTAGGTAGTTGCTATAAGAATACAGATTCAACTAGTAATGAAATCTATAAAAAGCTCTCAATTTGAAAAGGCTTTTTCCTCTCAAGAGCCATACCCTAAGGAAAATTTGATGGTTAAGCTGTCGTTACCGGAACTCAAGCGAGGTCCCTGGGTTATGCTAACCCACTGGGAAAATGTCAAGCCATCCTGAGCTCTAACTCTGCCAAAGACTCACAGTTTTCATCATCCCCCAAAGACAGACCTGGAACAAATGGCTCTGCTGCTTGCTTTGTTCTGCCATCTCTCGGGCGACAGGCAATCTAGGGGCAGGGCATGGAGTTTCTGAACAGAATACTAGAAATAGAAAATCTGGTTCTTCCTTGGAACAAAGAAACCACCAATAAAAAGAAAAACACAGAGAAAAATGCAGAAACAACCCCCACCAAAGCAATTATGAGATGAGAATTAAGATGGGCAAGAAGGGGGCAGAGCAGGGCAAAAGAACTTGAGGAACTAATAGCCATAGAGTTTGCCTCATAACAGTTTGCCTGAGAAAAATTCAGAAACCGTTTCTGTTTTAAATAGATACCATGTATATTCAAGCCATGTGGCCCCAATAGGACTGGAACCAACACCCTGAATCCACCTGCCTATTTTATTTTATTATTTTCTGCATCTGGCCACGCCTTACAGCATGCAGGATCTTAGTTCCCTGACCAGGGATCCAACCGTGCCCCCGTCAGTGGAAGCACGGCATCCTAACCACTGGACGAACAGGGAATTCCCTCCACCTGCCTATTTTAAAGCTGTAGCCCATGACACCATAAACAAAAACCCTAAAAGGGAGCCTGGTTTAGGCTGACCCAGGACCTATCAAAAGAACTAAACTCCGGTTTCATCTCTGAGTAGCATCTTCAATGTGGGCATAAAATTCAAGCCATGATTTAAAATTTCTAACCAAAGGTCTTAACACTTTATGAACAATTTTTAATCTTTCAATTAGGTCACAGATCCTGAGCTAGAACAAAGGTCATTCAACCTAAGAAGTAAATAGTCAAGCAAATTCTATTAACGTGTTTGAAAAAAATTCATGTGTTTGCCTTCAAAATATCTAAAGCAAAATGCTTAAGTAGATTAAAATTTGTTTCCAAAATCAGAATTTTCTGTAAATATACTTCTTATAAAGTCAATCTCAAAGATTATGGAAGGGGCTTCCCTGGTGGCGCAGTGGTTGAGAGTCCGCCTGCCGATGCAGGGGACACGGGTTCGTGCCCCGGTCCGGGAGGATCCCACATGCCGCAGAGCAGCTGGGCCCGTGAGCCATGGCCGCTGAGCCTGCGCGTCCGGAGCCTGTGCTCTGCAACAGGAGAGGCCACAACAGTGAGAGGCCCGTGTACCGCAAAAAAAAAAAAAAAAAAAAAAAAAAAAAAAAAGATTATGGAAGAGTTTTGGAACTCTTACCTGTGCAATATACTTTTAACAACAAAAAACCTTATAGAATGGAAATTATATTATATAACCGACGATCCACTGGCAGCACATTTTCAATGGAATTAGGGTTATATAAATAAAGATTTGTTCCTTAGGATTCAGCATGAAAAATATATTAACATAAGTGAAAAAGCTATAAGCAAAAATACAACTACAAACCTGTAAAATTCTAAGTACTCAAACATGAGCATTTTTTGACTGTATCCACTCACATATGGAGTCCCAAAGCCAATTTCCAGCCCATTAAAAAGCACAAGTATAGCATTAAGTTGATCTAAAAACAGGCAAGCCTTAAGCATCAGTGAATTACCAATAATTGTTGTCTTTCTCATAATTTACAAAAGCTTTCTAGAGCCACTTCAGTAAACCAGGCTTCTTATATCGGAGATTCAAGAACTCTTCACCGAATGGCTTTTCTTCTGGGCAAAAATTCTCTCCAGCACGTAAAGGCACCACCGCAGGTGCACATGGATGAGTCAGGCCACCCACTCAGCACACAGCAGGTGTGCGAAATCCCAGGCTGGGCGAAGTGTGTTTGCAAGTGTGTCTGGGCTTGCTGTCAATCCAGCCAGTGCCAAATGAGGCATGCCTTCTGGCCACCAGCCCCGGGACCCAGCTTTCTCAGTGCAACTTGAGGATAAACCCAAGATGCCCCCACCTCTGTTTTCACTAGTCAACACTAATCATTCTCTCTGTGTACGACCCACAGTTCTGCAACCAACGTGCCTGGTTTATTGACAACCACCAAGGACTAGAGCCACTTGCACTGGACCAAGTAAAGCCCACCATAGGACAGTGACCACATTAAGTCAATGGACTGTCAAAAACAATTACAGTAAATCCCCTACACACGAACCTTCAAGTTGCAAGCTTTCAAAGGTGCGAACGTGCATTCGACACATCCAATCACGTAAGTTAGTTCACGTGTCTGGCGTACATTGTCATGTACGTGCATCCTCTGCGAGTGGTTGTGCTTTTGTGTACTTTATTGTAAGTAGTGTATAGAGTACAGTAGTACAGTATCTTTATTTCAAGCCCAGGATGTCCAAAAGCAACTGTAAAAGCAGCAGTGATATAGCTAGTACTACTGTACTTTTCAAGGTACTGAAGTGTAAGATTAAAAATGTTTTCTTTTTTGTTTGTTTGTTTTTTGTGTATTAATACTATTTATGTGACAGTACTATATAGATGATTGTGTTAGTTGGGTACCTAGGCTAACTCTGTTGGACTAATGAACAAATTGGACTTACAGACGCGCTCTCGGAACAGAACTCGTTTGCATGTAGAGGACCTACTGTAACATGCAGTTAACATGGCCTTTGAGAAGAAAGTTCAGAACTCTCTCTCACAACACTGAGTCTCTTAACCAAC